AAGTGCAAGGTCGTGAGTTCGGTTCCCGGTACCGGAGAAAAACCAAAAAAAAAAAAAATCTGCATGCATGCAGCGATTTTGTTTGTCCCCGGATTCAGTGGCCGGAAGTCAGGCCCAGTGCTAGGACTTACAGATCTGACTGGGGCAATGGCACCCCCAACAGCAACAAGAGAACTTAGCCTCACCGCTCATGGTCACCCGGGGGAGGCTGTGGGCAGGCTGGAGGCAAACTGGCTGATGATGCGGACAGGGAACTAGAGACCCCAGAAAGGGAAGAGGTCTGTCTGTCAGGTGTCAGCACCAAAACGTTAAGTAAAAGACCCGCAGTGAAACCAACAGAATACCCAGCTGGGAGAAAGTGGAAGCGTTACTGTGTCTGGTGACCGCACAGCTGTGTCATGAATCCTGGAGTCCCTGGATGAAAAAGAAAGCACATTTTTATTGGGGCAGAGGAGCAGGAAGTTGGGGGTCTGTCAGTTGGAAAGAAAAATGTTATGGTTAGGCCTGGTATTTAAACAGGACATGAAGCCCCCGGCTCAGCTGACATGGAAGGAATATTTTGTCTCTTGGTGGTGGGGAGGTGGTTACCCCCTTTTACAGGTGGAAAAGTTGAGGTTCCCATAAAGGAAGACCCAGTCACCTGACCCACAAGCCCCACTAGATACTAGCAGAGCTTTAGCCCTTGACAGTCCTTCAGGAAGGACTTCCTGGACCCTTCTTAGCTGGGGACTCGGAGAGAGTGAAGCTGAAATGAGATGGGTAGAGAGAGGCCTCGGGGGCTGGGGATTTAGCTCAGCGGCACAGCGCCTGCCTGGCAAGTACAAGGTCGTGAGTTCGATTCCCGGTACTGGAAAAAAAAAACAAAAAAAAAAAAAGAGAGAGGCCTCAGGCAGAGGGACTTTGTACAATACCCCCAGCTTGATCCCCAGTAGCCAGTGCAAAAGTTAGGGGCAGATGGCCTCGTGCTGCCTGGAGAGGGGCCTCAGTTTCCCAGCAAGAGGGCAGGGGAAGCAGCTCTTTGCAGCTGGTTTAATTCCCAGCTCCGGCCCCTCCTAGCTGTGTGGCCTTGGGTGAGTCACTTTACCTCTCTGAGCTTCAGTTCACTGATCTGCAGGGTGAGGGTGAAATGATCATCTTCATAGCTAATTTCAAAGATTCAATTGTGGGGGGAAAAAATCTCAGTGGGTGCGCCTACCATTTTTCTAGCTTTGTCACTGGCTGGCTGTCTGACCAGGCTTCTGGGATGTGGCTCCTTCAGGCCTCCCTAACTGGAGCTCTCTCACCCCACAGGTCCCCAAGGCCGCCTCCCCATCCCCCTGTCCTGCCCCGCCCACCCCCCTCCTGCAGCTGCCCGTCTGGCCCTGTGCAGCCGGGCCCCTCCCCTGCTCCGGCCCCTAACTCTCCCTCTCTCCCTCCCGCCCTGCAGCGACATCAAGAGGATTGGGGTGCGGCTGCCTGGCCACCAGAAGCGCATCGCCTACAGCCTGCTGGGACTCAAAGACCAGGTGAACACTGTGGGGATCCCCATCTGAGTGCCGGCAGGGTCTTGCGTCCCCTGAACACAAATACTTGAAGAATCAAAGTGGCCTTCCTGCCAGCTCCGTGCCGGGCCACCGAGGACTTATTTATTTCCAGTTGTTCCCTATGGATACCACACTGAGGGCCCTGCTGGGAACCATGGGTGACACTGCGGCCTGAACTGACGGATGCTCCGGGAGGCTGGGCCCAGGCCTCTTCCCCGCTGCGCACTTAGCAGGCACCATCCTGTTCCCAGCATCCTCCAGGGCAGGATCCCCACCAAGTCTGTGGACATTACAGGGGCCGTTCCCAAACTGACCTCCCCGTCATCCTCCTCCAACAGAAGCCATCTTAAGACGCGGGTTCAGCCCACGGCCGTGTGAATAGGGTACCTCAGGCCTCCCCCCTCACGACAAGAGGGCAGACGTTGAACTCGGCTGGGCGAGACTCAGAATGGACCTCCGTCCCTGTAGTGCCTTTTCTCAGACCCCCAGGCCCTGTCCTCGGCCCTCATGGGTCAATCTCTTGCTTTCCTGGGGCCCTCTCAGGGTGCTTGGTTGTGCTGAAGTTTTTTTTTAACTATATATTTTGTACTTTGTGGAGAGAATGTGTGTGCGGCAGGGGCCCCGCCAGGGCTGAGGGCAGACATTCCACCCCATACCCCCACTCTAGATGACTTCTGTCAGTGTTAATGATTTTGTTGGGTTTTTTTTTTGAACCTTAATTTATTATTATTTTTTTATATTTATTGTTAGAAAATGACTTATTTCTGCTCTGGAATAAAGCTGCAGATGGTTCAAATTGATCTTGGCTTTTGTTTGGGGGAGCGGGGGTTTCTGAGAGGTCTCCTGAGTGCAGTGTGGGGATGCAGGGCTCCCCCGATCCTGAGTGTTTAGACGTAGCTCCAGAGGGGCCGTGTCACCTGGGAGCGGCGGGTGGGTGGAGTGGGCAGAGAGCCAGGGCCCAGGCCCCACGGAGCCCAGCCTCCGGGCCAGCAGGCCTAACGCGCTTCAGAGGCAAGCAGCCGGTGAGAGCAGCCGTCCTCACCCCTCCCACAGGATTGCAGAGCTGTTGAAATAGATTCTTCCAGCATCCACGCGGGGCTTTGAGGTTTACAATAAGCTCCTCACAGGTTTTGGCTTGTTGGAGCCTCAGCACTGTTATGAGTTTTCTGGGTGGCCCCATTTTACAGAAAAGGAAAACAGAGGCTGGGCCCTGTGATCAGGGCTCACAGCAAGTTAGGGGCAGAGGCCAGAGTTGGAAAGTGTGAACTGGAATCTCGATGGGATGCTCTGCTCAGTCTTAAGGAGACAGAGCTCAGAGATGCACAGCAACTTGTCCAAAGCCACACAGCAGAGTCAGAGCAGGTGACCCCCAGGCTGAGGCCTCAGGGATTAGGAGGAGTTAGGCAGAGGCAGGGGGCAGCACAGGCGTGGCGGGGTGGGGTGTAAAACTGCATGGTTGGACAAGAGAACCACGGGACTCGGTCCTCACTACGCTCCGCCTAGAGTTGTGGGGAGACCGATCTGGCCAAGGGAGAGGGCTCCACTTGCCCTGGGGTGTCAAGCAGGCCCCCTGAGCCTGGGCAAGAGCCTGGGCCAGACCTCCGTCAGGTACAGCTGGGTGATGGGGGCAGGGTGCTCGGGGACCAGCTGGCCTCCCCGTCAGTGCCCGGCCACCTGCTGTGCTGGGCACAGCAGCTGAGCCAGGCCCTCCTGGTGCCTGACTCTGGCCTGTCCAGCCCAGGTGGCCACTGTTGCCCTGTGGCTTGAGCAAAGGCTTCCACCACCACCGCTGACAGAGCTGTGAGTCCCGACTCAGGGACACACATACAATACGGAGCTGCAAGGCCACACACTTTGAGTCCAGGTCTGAGTCCCGTTCCCTGCCTGGTGCCCCGCTGGTGGCCAGCATGGACCGGAAGTGGCTTGGTGGGAGGTGGGCCCCTGTGTGCTCGCTCCCCGTGGGCCTCAGTGGAAATAGGCCGTCCTGAGGGCTATGACATGGCACAAGGCCTATGAGTGCGAGGCTCAAAGGCCGGGGAGCAGCAGTCTGCAGTTACTGGACCACAATTAGCAGGGGAGGAAGCTTCATTTTTATTTTATTAAAGCAAATTCAGCTGTCACTCAGAGACCCTGGATACCGCGACAGCCTTGTAGCAACAAACACTCTCAGGCCTAGGTCTTGGCTCCCAAGCATTATTCTCCAATAGAAGGTACAAGGGCTCCTTCAAGTAATGACTGATTCTAGGTTGGAGGTGGGAAAAATACAAGAGGAGCTAGGAGCATCTTATGTGTGCCAGAGAGTGAGGAAGTGCTCAAAATACACGCAAATGGGGCTGGGCTTGAGCTCAGTGGTAGAGCGCTTGCCTAGCATGTGGAGGCCCTGGGTTCCATCCCTAGCACCACAAATAAGCAAGCAAGCAGATGGGGCCATGTCCAGCAGTTGAAGGAGCCAGCCTCAAAGAGCAACCTGGCCAGATGTGGGGGCTCACACCTATAATTCTAGCACTCTGGGAAGCTGAGGCAGGAGGATCTCAAATTTGAGCCCAACCTGGGCAGTTTAGTGACTTAGCAAGATCCTGTCTCCAAAACAAAACAAAACAAAAAACAGAAAGAAATACAGAAGAGAGGGAGAAGAAGGAAAGCAAGAAAGAAAGAAAGAAAGAAAAAGGAAAGAAAAGAAAAGAAAGGAAAAGAAAGCAACTTGAGGCCAAATCTAAAACAAGTTGAGCAAAAAAAAAAAAAACCAAATGATAGAACATTAGATTACAACCCCAAGATTAAAATAAATACATCCACACCCGTACTGATATAAATAAGTGATTGAATAAAGAACAGAGGGGAGGGGCTGGGAATTTAGTTCAGTGGCACAGCGCCTGCCTGGCAAGCGCAAGGTCACGAGTTTGATTCCTGGTACCGGAAAAAAACAAAACAAAAAGAACAGAGGGGAAGACAAGGGTTCCTTGCAGAATTCCAAATAATTCATGGAGATTCTCCCCGCTCTGGTAGTGGGGCTCACTTCTCCGCTGTGTCGTGTACCCCAGACACCCTTCCAAAGCAAAAAGGTATGAAAGGGTAGGAAGGGTTAAAAAAGAAAAGAAGGAAAAAGTGACTTTACAGCCGAGGAAGCTGGCAAGCACCGCCGTAACCAAGTGATCAAAGCCAACATCTCAAGCGCAGAAAAAAATGAACCAGCCCAGAGCAGAAGCAACGCTGGGCTAGAAATGCAGGACTGGGATCAGCAAACACTACCACTTGGTTTGCTGGGCACCACCCACTGCTCTCCGAGGAGGTTTTGCGCTGGGTATGGTAGCGCCCACCTCAGCACACGGGAGGCTGAGGCAGGATTACTGCCTGCGCTACATTGTGAAATCAAGGCCACTTTGGAATACATAGTGAGACCCTATCTCAAAAAACAAACACAAAAGAAGCTTTGACTATTTCTTAATCCTCTGGCCATCCTCCCAGGTGGTGAAGGCTGTTAGTCCATTTTACAGATTTGAACATGGAGCCCAGAGATGTTACAGAATTTACCAGAGCCACCTAATTCTCAGTTCAGACTCAGTGTCCACCCTCAGGCCACAGAGGTCATGATTAAACAAGATTTTTATCCCCTCTCTGCTATCGTGGGCACCTCCTTGGAGAAGTTCTGAGAAGCACTGGCCCTGAGGAAACTGATGCACCAGGCGGTACTGCCCCACACCCCAGACACCCAAGTGGTTTGCTGCTATGTTCTGTCTTTCACCCCAAGTAGTTGCTCCTTGGTTTATGCCAGGCCAGCACTCAGGCCACAGAGATGAAAGAGGCCCCTGTTCCCCTTGGGGCTCTTGGTCTAGTGGGGGTTGCAGTGACCATAGAGTGGGGCCCAGGCTAAGGGAGAGGAGCTGGGTGTTACAGGAGACAGAGAAAGTCTGGGTCAGCTTAATGCCATGCCAGCACTTGCTGTTATCCCCAACCCAAGCAGAACTTCCTTCCAGCCTCAGTCTTCCCAGCTGGGAAATGGGCCTGCAGCCCACTGCCTTCCTGGGCTCTGAGCTGCAGGCGCCTTGGCAGCCCTTTGATGGGCCCAGCAGAGCCCCGAAGGTGGTGGAGGAAGCAATTAGAGGGTGTGGGGTGGGGATCACCCTCTGCCTCCCAGGCTCCCAGTCTGGCAGAGGGTTAAAACAGTTTCGCCAGCACTGGCTTCAGATTTCCTAATTAATTAGCAAACCCTAGAGGAAAACCCTTGGCCGAGACCCAGGGCCTAGGATGGGCCTGGGGTGGACCCAAGGCTGCCAGGGAAGAGATGGCTGAGTGAGTGCCACGTGAAGCGCTGGGGTTCACAGCTCTGGCCCCCCATTTCTGCACTCAGGGTGCGCACCCGTCCCCAGAACAGTGCACAGCGCCCAGAGGCTTTAATAAATAGTTGCTCAATACAGAGGTAAATGATAAGGGAGAGGGACTGGGCTTTGGGGACCTGAAGGCCTAGTGGAGCCGTGGGGAGGCAGATTATTCGCCTTTCTTATTTTTTATTTTGAGACAGGGTCACACTGAGTTGCTGGTTTGCCCAGGCCGGGCTTGAACTTCGAGATCCTCCTGTCTCAGCTTCTCAGAGCGTTGCGAGGTTACAGTGATCAGAATAAGATGCCACAGCTAGGAGATGATCGGGCAGAAGAGACCAGTCCAGCCCGTCCACATCCTGCTGCTGAGTGACCTCAGGAGGCTTGGGGAAGAGCTCTGGGCTGCGAAAGGAAACATTTCGGCTGGCAGCTCCTGCTGTGGGGCTCTGGGCCTGTCCCGGCCGTCTCTGGACTCGGGGAGTCCCTCTGTGCTGTGGAGGGCCAGGACGTGCATCCTGGTGGGATGAGCCCCCACCCCAGCCCAGCACCCCTGCACCCTTGCCCGCCCTGCTCTGGTGCCCTCTACCCAGGCAGCGGGCCCCACTCCAGCCCTGGGCCTGGCTTTCCAGTTCCAGCCCTGCCAGCCAGTCTCCGCGGCCTGGTTTCTGGGAAGCTGCTGCGGCCGCATCCCAC